GTATGTACGGATATCCAAAATATAAAAATAACTAATTTTTTTTTAAATATTCACGTTTAAAAATTCAAAAATTTGCACTAAGAACATGTTATTTCTCTATGTTTCACTAAACTTTTCCACATTTTTTATATGTATATTTAAATATACACTGTAAGCATTGAAATAAGCTCACATTTCACATTTATTTTGTAATTTTTCAGCTAAATTTAGTAATTTAAAAATCACTTATCAAATTTATGGCTTATAAGCACACAGCGTTTTCTTTGTCTGTACTTTCGAGTGATTCTTTTTTCTTTATTAACTATAAAAAAACGATTAAGATTTTTCAAGCTAAAATTGAATATGTGAACACTTTTCCATATACATACACATATGAATATATAAATAATATTTAATTTATATTTAATAAACACAGGTAAGTAAAATCGTGTGATAATATTATATATGTATATGACTGCAATATAACGTTTTTATATACATATTGCAATTTTATATTATCATTCTCCTTCTGCGTCGGCGGTCTTCAGCCGCGCTCTAAAAAAATAACCCTGGCCGAGCGAATACCCGAGATGACTGAAGTACTTTCGCATAGTACTCCTTTCTGAGTTAAAAATACAAAAATATACTTCGTTTTTATTATAAAGTGGTTAAAATTTTTGGTTATCATGCACTCATATTGAAACAAAATTTGAGTTTTCGTAGTGTACCGTATGCTTTACACTTCATTATGTATTGTTACTTATATTATTATTTTTATACATTATATGTATTGTACTGTATACTTTACACTTTATTACGTAATATTATTATATAATATTACTTATTAACTTAATAAATTTAAAAAAGAAAATATCCATATGCATGGATAGACGCATTTTTACGAAAAAGAATTCCTCGCGAATTGCCTTATCATCACATGGCAGCGCTCCATTTCGCCGTAATTTTTGGTAAACAAATAAGCTTGAAAGGAGTGTAAAATGTAATTTTTAAAATAAAGATTTTTTAGGTAAAAAACTTACTAAAAGTGTAAAATTTGGACGTATTTAAAAGTTTATAGTGTAATTTAATTAATTTGAAGTGAAAAATGTGAATAAAGTGTGTTGAATGTGGTGAAATAGCCTCTTGAAATGTTCGAATTTTTGAACTTTAAGGTCGAATATCTCGTAAACTAAGCGTTTGCGGTACCTATAACCTTATATATATTTTTTAATCAGGAAGTACCTTCAAATCGACGCGCCAAAGAAATCGGAATTGTGCCTTGTTAATATACTTGCACATAATTTAATTAGCAATATAAAAACCGCTTGCCTCTGATTTGACATCTCTCAATACCACTGTCGTCTGGCAGGGCTATAACCAAACAAATAGAGAAATAAACGGACGCTGTTAGCCGATGAGTAACATATGCAGTTTTCGAAAATAGTTTGCAAATTAGAGCAAGGAAATATACAGTATTGGACAAAACTGAAGCACACCCTACTAAATAAACGTAAAATTTTGACGTTTTTCAATGAGTTGCTTATTAATTTGTGACATACAGTGATTACGTCTGCAAATCTATAACATCAACTCCGTAACTTCCCAACCATGTTTTGCAAGGCCTAAAGTTATGCATAATATCATTGTCCTGCTGGAACCACCACTATAGTGGGATATCTTTTTCAGCATATGGTAGTATTCCGTTTTTTAAAATGTCGGTGTAAACAAACCGGTCGTTTATTCCATTTAATATATGAATAGGTCCAGTCCCATGAACAGAGAACGATCTCCAGACCATAACATATTTAATGGTCGCAAAATAATACTTAGATTTGAGTCCATGTCTTTTCGGCCTTCTCACATATCTTATGCCATCCTAATCTTTCATATTATGTTTCGATTCGTCTGAGGATAAAATTCCTGAATGCTCCAATCGAGATGAGCTGTCGCAAATATGAGTTTGGCCTTTAAATTCTTTTGCTCAAGTAAAAAGCTTTATAGCTGGACGCCAACAGAAAAACCCGGCCTCAACAGCTCGTCTTCTAGTTGTTCGTGCATTAACTGGTAAAAAAAAGTATTTCTGTATTTCATTGCAAAAGACTGTGGGATAAATTTGGGTAACCTTTTTATCAATGAATCGTTTCTTTATCTAGTTTTCCGCTATCTTCCTCAGCTGTGCCGAGAAAGTTCATTGCTAGTTTGCTGGAATTTATTTATTAATCGGGGCCACCACTGATCTATTCACCGAATAATTTTAACTAATTTTATGTTGAGATAAACAGTTTGCCAATCACTTACTATTTTATTTGTAAAGTCGGCTGAATAAGTATTTTCGGGTAATTTTTATTCTTAAACTCTAAATTGCAACTGAACAGTTACGACGTCAAAAATCTCTTTTCAAAATATAATATCTCAATAATATTTGTAACGGTTTATTGTTAACGCCTTCAACGAACAACTTACTTTTCAGTAGCGTGGAACTATTTTTCCTAACAAATACTAGGAGGTAGTTTAGTTTTGTCCACTTTGCATTTGTGTTGTAATGATGAGTCCGTCAATGTTATGGAGATATTCTCGAGTTTTTTTCTGCTTGTAATAAGCACTGCTTCCGTTTTTTGTTCCGCGTGTTGGAGTTTCGAGCTATATAGCCAGTGCTTTATTTTAGGTATCGTCTCACTACATATCCTCTGATTTTGGTGGAGTTCTGTGGCTACTATGGTTACCGCTATATAATCGGCGTATTCGATAATCTGTACTTCTTTGGGCAGCGGGAGGCGTAGTATCCCATCATACAGGACAGTCCATAAGAGTGGACCCAGTACGGAACCTTGTGGCACACCACCAGTTACCGTGTATTCTTTTGGACCTTCGTCTGTATTGTAGAGCAACAGCCTTTCGGACAAATAGCTCTGTATGATACTCAGCAGGTACGTTGGAGTTTTTTTCGCCTGTAACGCACGCAGTACGTGGGGCCAGTGAGCTGAATTAAATGCATTTTTTACATCGAGAGATATGACCGCGCAGTATTCTTTATTGCCATACATCCATCTTTCTACTTCTATGGCATTTTCCGCGATACCTGTGAGCTTCTTAATTGCGTCAAGAGTTGAGCGTGTTATGCGGAAGCCGTACTGGTTATTTGATAAACTGCAGGCCTCCCCTTCTAGGTAGCTTTCTAGTCGAACACAGATAATCTACTCCAGCATTTTTCCCATTGTGTCGATCACGCATAGAGGGCGGTAAGACCTTGGTTCCCCTGCTGGTTTGTTTGCCTTCTGCAATAGCATTAGGCGTTGCCTTTTCCATATTTTGGGGAAGATCCCCTCTCTTAGGCATCGCGCAGAGCTCCACAAATTGTTTGGTTTTGGATTTGACTGCAATCTTCAGGACCTTGTTCGGGATTCCATCCAGGCCTGGTGCTTTTGAATTGCCAAACCGTTCAGCAGCTTGTAGCACTTCGAGATCACTTACTGGCGCTGCATTTGTGGGCTCTGCTTTTTCGAGAAGTATACTTTCACCTTCCTGGCTTTGCTTAGGGAATAGCATTTCTACCACATTTTTTAGCAAAGAAGGACAGGTCGGAGCTTGCCCCTTGCTCCGTCCGATCTTTCTGTCGCGTAACATATTGAAGCAAAAATTTTGCTCGCCTTTATCGGTTTTTTCAGGTCCCTGCGCTTCTTTTTGAAAATGTCTCTCAGTCTCAAAAAATCTATGCTGCCTATGCTACGTTGGAACCGGCGCCTCGCTTTGTGGCACTCGCTTCTCAGTAAAGCGATTTCATGATTCCACCAGTATACCGGCTTTCTTTGTGTTGTTTGTTTCCTTTTGACCATAGCCGCATCGCAGGCTTTGGATATGTGGTCTACCAGAAGTTTGGCCTGGATATCTACGTCATTATCTTCCTTCAGGTTATCGTCCAGAATAAATTGGAAGAGTTCCTCATCAAGTGTTTCAATCCTCCACCCTTTGGACTGTACTCTTTGGCGACAGGTGGTTTTGCGTAGTCCTTGCGTGGGTTTGCTGATTTTTATTAATATAGCCAGGTGATCACTCTGAGTATATATGTCACACACCCGCCCGTCCGTTGATCGAATTAACGTTCTGCTAGCAAAAGATACGTCAATAATAGAGCCACGCCCATTCTTTTCAAAAGTGTTTTTTGTCCCTGTATTCAGTTGGACAACGTCTAACACAGCAAAGGCTTTAAGCAGTGCCCTTCCTGTTGGGTTAGTGACTTTGCTTCCGCATTCTATGGCCCAGGTATTGAAGTCCCCCGCATTTATATTTGGTGTAGTTGTGGTTGCATCTTTCACCAGCTCGTCAAGTATTTTTTCATATTCGTCAAGTGGGATACTTGGCGGTATGTAGCAGCTGTAGAAGTAGACCCCATATATTTTCGCTCTTGCGTAGTAGGCCTTTCCAGTCAGTGGTTTGTGTTGGAACGTTTTGTCTCCACACGCTCATATTTCCACCTTTTATGTGGTATCTGAGATCCACTTGTCAGTCGTTTTATTTGTATATTGTTCACAGATTATTGCTACTTGCTATTTCGATACTATATTCATAAACCCTTAGCCGCCTCACAGTGGTTCAGGTTTATTTGCAGGATCTTCACCTGGTATTTTTACTGCACGCTGCTATGTAGATGGGACATTTTCGGCTCCCTATAGGATTTCACAAAATGACCCTTCTCTCCGCACTTACTCCTGTCTTCCAGGTTGCTGCACACCTTCGCATTCGTCCATATTCGAGGCACCTGAAACACTTCTTCAGTTGAGCCTTTTTTCCTAATCCTACAGATTGTCCAGCCGATCCTGATCTTTTGGGCTTGTAGTAAGTATCTTGCTTCTTAATAAGTATTAAAAATCGATCCTTTGCAATAAAGTTCACAACGTATCTCACGACCATTACCAGACATTTTTTACTTGAGATATAAGTGGTTTCGTCAATGATTATTGAAAACTTACAGTTCTTTAACGTTGAAACAAGCTCGGATGTTGTTTTGCTAGCAATTTCCTTGGTTATGTTTGTTGCTTTAGTTCTGGCAATTTGCAAACGTTTGGTCACTTCAGAGTCCGGGCAACATTCAGCTAACAGAGCAGATAAAACATCCATTMATAAAAACGGCAAGTTGTGCGTTACAAGAAACATGACGAGCGTAAATTCTACATATTGAACCTTTTTGCTCATCTGCTCTTTTTCGGTATCCAAAAATTTCTCCATCGATAATTGACTCTTTTTGGCTTCCATATTTTGTACATGAGAAAAACAACTGGCGTGTCTGCGAGACCATTTTTGTTTTCCAGCCACGGGAACTTTTGAAGCCACTCAATTCTGAACTTTCTCGTTCTTTTGCTCTTTTTACTAAATAAACAAAACATTTTTAATAAAATTCTGGGATTGGCAAAATTCTAAACACATACGGCTCATTGTTATTTCCTTGTTCTTCTTCTTCAGTAAAGTTTTCTTCATTTTCCTTTTGTTTATCAATCCGTGACTTTTTTACTATAAATCTGAAATATAAGATTTTCAATTATTCCTTCTTATAATTATTAACATTAAAATTAGCTTACC